ATGCGTCTCTGATGGGGGATGGTCTTCCAAAGACTTGTTGGACAACTACAAGAACAGCGCCGCGTGCGTGATACCTATAAGTAACTCGGGCCTCCGGCTGCCCTTGCGGACGATTCAGGCACTCCTGGGGAGCTCCCGGCGAGGCGCAGATTTTGCAAAGCACCCCGAGGCGAGAGAACATCTAAAAACCACCGAAACCTACCAACTGTGTCCAAGAACCTCCTTCCAGGCCCTGAAATCCACCGATCTGACTTTTCAATCTGCGGCCCCAGAAACCGACCGCTTGTGTTTCGTCCTGGGTTCATTCTCGATGATCCTAGGGCCGAAAACGGGCCCCGAGGACCGAAATGATTGACAAAACAGAGGCTGAAAAATCACATCGTCGGAGATCTGGGGGGGGCTGGAGTGCGTGTCCACACTAGAGGAAAACAAAAACTGCATAAACATACATCTTCGGAGGTCCGCGTGGATTTTTTAGATCGGCGCTGGGAACCCACTGCTTGGCGCGCGAAGCGCGCCAGGGACGGCGCTGGAGGCACCGCCAGGGGGGCACAACGCCGATCCAAGAAGTCCACTCGGAACTCCGAAAAATAATTCCCAACCATCCTGTGGTGTTGGGTCCTCGTTTTGAAGAAACGGTGCCCCGCGTCTCCTTCCTTCCTCCTTCCTCCTCCTCCGCCTCCTCTCCCCTCCTATCATCCTCATCATCATCATCATCATCATCATCATCATCATCATCATCATCATCATCATCATCATCATCATCATCATCATCATCATCGTCGTCGTCATCGTCATCGTCATCACCCACTTCGGCACACCCCTCACACGTTTCGTGGCCCCATAGGGAGCCCCACCGAAGGCCCCAGTGCTGCCGCCCGCATGCGTCCCGCACCCAATTCGGCACACCCCTCACACGTTTCGTGGCCCCATAGGGAGCCCCACCGAAGGCCCCAGTGCTGCCGCCCGCATGCGTCCCGCACACCCAATTCGGCACACCCCTCACACGTTTCGTGGCCCCATAGGGAGCCCCACCGAAGGCCCCAGTGCTGCCGCCCGCATGCGTCCCGCACACCCAATTCGGCACACCCCTCACACGTTTCGTGGCCCCATAGGGAGCCCCACCGAAGGCCCCAGTGTTGCCGCCCGCATGCGTCCCGCACACTCAATTCGGCACACCCCTCACACGTTTCGTGGCCCCATAGGGAGCCACACCGAAGGCCCCAGTGCTGCCGCCCGCATGCGTCCCGCACACCCAATTCGGCACACCTCTCATACGCTTCGTGGCCCCATTGGGAGCCCCACCGAAAGCCCCAGTGCTGCCGCCCGCATGCGTCCCGCACACCCAATTCGGCACACCCCTCACACGCTTCGTGGCCCCATAGGGAGCCACACCGAAGGCCCCAGTGCTGCCGCCCGCATGCGTCCCGCACACCCAATTCGGCACACCCCTCACACGTTTCGCGGCCGCATAGGGAGACCTATGCGGCGGGGCTCCCCACCTGATGCGCCACGACGACAGCCTCGCGAGGGACCTCGCGGGCCCGCTGGTGTTCATCGAGCCCCGCACGTCGGAGGCGTTCACCTTCCGCACCTCCAAGGTCACCCGGACGGGCTTCCCGTTCTCGCACGGCAGGGTCATCACCACGGTGGCGTGCCAGGGGCGCACCATGCGAGAAGGCGACGGGGCGGGGGAACGGCGCTCCGGGGACAGCGAGACCTCCGGGGCGCGAGCAGTCCGCAGCCAGACCTCGGTCCTGTGGACTCTCGCCGCCCTGGGCCGTCGGCTGCCGGGCGCACCGCTCCCTCGGCCGACGTCGCCCAGGCGTGATCCTGGACTGCGGCCGCCACGAGGTCGGGAACGGCAAGAAGGAGGACGACGACTGGTGGCTGGAGCTCTACGTGCTGCTCTCGCGCGCCACGCGACACGAGGACCTCCTGCTCATGCGGGCGCCGCGCATCGAGTTCTTCCTGGCCGGGCCGCCGGCGGGTTTGCGGAAGCAGCTTGGGCAGTTTGCGGCGCGCACGAAGCGGTGCAGGAGGGAGGCCACGGCCCTCGCCAAGGACCTCGGCTTCACTGAGTTTATCCGCAAGGCCTGACCTGAGGAGCGGCCCGCCCCAGCCGCTTCTTCTCTTGGCTGTCCGGCTGTTCGGCCTGGCGCCGCCGACGCTCCGCGCGCGTCGCTGGGACCCTCTCGGGGCGATCAGCGCGCGTCGCCCGAACTCCGCGCTGCGCTCTGTGCAGCGCCTCGCTCGCCCGTCGTCGCTCCGCCCGGCGGCCAGAGCCATGCGCGCTATGAGTTAGCCAGCAAGCAATCTCTGTTCCGCTCAGCGGACGAACCGCGCGCGTCACTGCGACCCCCTCGGGGCGACCTGTGCGAGTCGCGAGGGCTCCGCATGGCGCTGCGCCCGCAGCCTTGGACGTTGGAGTGCGCGGGCAAAGGACATGGAAAAAGGAGAAGAGGAAGCGGGCGCGATCCTCGCGCGGGGCGTGCCGACATGGGCGTCGCGGCGCGCGGGCGCTGCCGTCGAGGTTCCCAGGGAAGCCCCCCTGCAGAGGCTACGCCGCACAATTCGGCACACCTTCATACGGTTCGTTTCCCCATAGGGAGCGCCACCGAAGAAGATATTCACAATTGCGGTACTCACAACTGCATATGGTTGGGTCCTTCGCCAGGATAATGTTTTTGCCGTGTTCCTTCTTCGACACATGTCCCTTCGGTGGCAACTCACGGGGGTCTCCAATGCCATCTTGCTGGCTCTTGCGAACCGACGCTAACCGACGCCAATCGACGCGCATCGACGCTAAGTCGACGCTACCGAGGTGAAATCCGCACTTTCTCATCGGCTACCACACGCTGGCGCGCGCGACTGCACTATGCAGACGGAGCTACGCATGAGAACGGCGCTCATGCACCGCACCGTGTTTGGACTCCCTTCAAGCCTCGCTCCAAAGCGGTACGATGCGTAGCGTTCCGGATCTGACGGCCGAACTTCCATGCACCGTACCCTTCCTGGGCCCGAAAGATCGACGACGCCTCGGGAAGCGCCAACGTGGCACGGTGCATACAGGACGCAAAACGTTCGCGGATTACGTAAGAAGGAAAAAACCCATAAACATAAACTATTGGCGTTCCGCTCGGATTTCTTGGATCTGCGCTGGACCCCTTCCCTGGCGCGGAGCGCGCAACTGGGCGCCCGAGGCGCCGCCGAGAGGGGCCCAGCGCAGATCCAAGAAATCCGCGCGGAGCGCCAAAAGTCCCACCAGTCCTCTGGGCGTAGGTGGTCTAGGGAGGCTTCTCTTCCAACCCCCTTCTTCCCCTTCGGGGAGGGGCTACCCCTCCCCCATACCCCTCCCCCTGGACCTGGACGGGGGTGGTCGCGGGTAGTTGGAAGTTCCAAGATGGCCCAAGACGGTTCCAAGCGCGCCTCGGAAAACCCAAGAGTACCTCCAAGATGGTTCAAGACAGCGCAAGATGCCTCAAGACGGGCTTCAAGATGCTCCAAGTGGCCCCAAGAACGCTCCAAGACGGTTCCCAGGGGCCTCCGAGACCTCCAGGGAATTCCCCAAGAGGCCGAAATCCTTCAAGAAACCTTCAAACAAATCGATGAATTGTGCTTTCTCGCCTTTTCGCTTCCGACGGCCATCCAAGGCCTCAAGATGGCTCCAAGATGACCCAAGAGGGCCCCACGGGAGGCCCAAGAGAGTCCCAAGACGGCCCCAAGAGCGCCCAAGAGCGCCCCAAGAGCGCTCCCAGAGGGGTCCGTCCAGGAGGCGAGTTCTGGCACCCCCGAGAGGGGGAGGCTAATTGGAGCTTTCTCTCTGTCTCTCTCTCTCTCTCTCTCTCTCTCTTTCTCTCTTTTTCGATGTCCTCCAAGATGGCCCCAAGAGCGCCCCTGAAGATCCCAAGAGCGGCCCAGGAGGGCCACAAGATGCGCCCAGACAGCCCCAAGAGGCGCCCAAGAGGCCTCCAAGAAACCCCATACAAGGCCTCAAGAAGGTCCCCGAGGTACCCAACTCTCCCTCTTTCTCCTCCTTCTCGTCTTCCTCGTCCACCTCGTCCTCGCCCTCCTCCTCCTCCTCCTCCTCCTCCTCCTCCTCCTCCTCCTCCTCTCCTCCTCCTCCTCCTCCTCCTCCTCCTCTCTCCTCCTCCTCCTCCTCCTCCTCCTCCTCCTCCCTCCTCCTCCTCCTCCTCCTCCTCCTCCTCCTCCTCCGACTCCGACGACGACGACGACGACGACGACGACGACGGCGGCGACGACGACGACGACGACGACGAAGACGACGATTCCTCCTCCATCCTCCCCTGGTATATGACGGTTTCCCCCGCCCTTTGTTCTTCTGCATGCTCCCCCACTTCCCTGATTACCTAAACTCCCCTGGGCATAGTTTCTGGATGGGCTGGTGGGGATAATTTCGTTTTTTTCTTCGCGAGCGTCACGGTCCAACCGCGCGCCGTCCAGAAACGCGCAGCTAACGAGCAGCGGGCCAAATTAAGCCCTAAGCGACAGGAGCGGGCTACGCTGCCACACAGGAGGCGAAAACGACGCTGAAGAACAGATGGTTCACGCCAAAGCCGACGAAGCCCAGGATGAAGGCCTCGATGCACACCAACATGGTGGATGAATTGGAACACGAAGATGGCTGGGATACGCGAAGCGTCAACTATGCCTGTTTATGCCGTGCTGTCTTCTTCGGCATCCGCGGATCGCGAGGACATACGAGGCTCCGAGCTCATCGGCTGCTGCAACTACCCCCCAATGAGCGGCAACGATAGGGCGGGACTGGCAAAGGAGGGAAACCTCGACCTGGAATCGGCGATACCTCGCCGATACATCGGCGACGGGCCCCCGCTAGTGAATCCGCACCTTCCTGTGCAGGCTGGGGATATCGGGCCCCTATCGGCGACGAATGGGCGATTGGGGGCCGATATGAGCCCCCCCATCCTATGCCCAACCCCCCCGTATCGCAGCGTTGGCCCCCCCTCCCCCCCCCATGCTCCGGCTGGTCTGCGGCCCGCACCTTGCTCGGGTCGGGCGCGTACTGCTGCGGCTTCTGGGGCCCGCGGCTGCTCACGTAGAGCGTCCAGCGGCCTCGGGGCCCCCCTCAAACGGGGCCCTTTGTGAGAGCCCGGGGAATGGGCGCGCCCACAGGAACGACTGACGTGGGGCGATACCTGTTACCGTCAACCCATATCATAAGGATGCGCGGAAAGTGCGGGCATGACTCGTGTCCAGATTGGCCGCAGTAAAGATGCCAGGGCCTTGGAGGCCCATGCGAACGACTTTCGAGCGAGGTTGGCCAGCGAAAGTCGCTGTGGATGGGCCGAGGAGGAAAAGATGCAAGGATGCCCTTGGGCAACCATCCGTACCCTTCGGGCTTGACTGCAGACCAGGACGCTGGCGCGCCCAACAAAACGACGGGCGCGGGTCGAAACTTTTTGGGCGACAGCGCCGGCGGTCGCTCCTTCTCCTCCTTCTCCTCCTCCTCCTCCTCCTCCTCCTCCTCCTCCTCCTCCTCCTCCTCGACCCCAGCGCCGATCCGAGAAATCCGCGCGTACCTCCGAGTTTTTATGTTTATGCCACTTTTTGTTCCCCGATCCACTGCTCGCAAAGCAGCTACTCGCAAGTGGCCTGGATCCGCCGCGGGGGAGCCACGACAGGTTACACCGAAGCAGACGAGTGGCTTTTCGGGCGTTTGCGAGTAGGCACTCTTTGCGAGTAGTGGAAAGCGCTCGGTGAGAGGGGGCCCGGTCTGGGCCGTCTGGAGGGTTCCAGGGGGCCTGGGCAAGAGGCCGCCCCCTTTGAGTACGAGACGTGGATAAGATTCTTCGCTCTCTCCGCGTGGATCTGTCGACGTCCTGGTTCTGCAAAGGTCCTGCTTTGGAAGGCCCTGGCGGCCAGTGAAGGCGTTCTGCCGGAAGACCCGGGTGTCGCCCGAGCCCTGGCCCGTTTGGATCGATCCGATGGGTCCGACTCGGCATCGATCCCAGATTTCCGACGACATGACTCTCTCCTCCGACGGCTTTCCCTCGCCTGCGGTCCTCCGTTGTCAGGCCCCCACAACATTACACGTCGGTCGGAAGAAGTAGGTAGAAACATGAAGTAGGAAGGCGGATGTAGATTGGGTCCAGGTCCTCCCAGACAATAACAAAGCACAGCAACAGCAAGCCGATTCTTGAAGTAGGAAGGCGCTTGAAATAGATTGGGATGTGGGAATCCAAAAAATACCTGCTTTCAACAACCGGCGTGTAGAAACGGATTTGGGACGAAAACCGGCCCCCGGGGAAGCGGTCTTGGGCCCTGGAGCCGCGGATCAAAAGAGATCGGATCATCGGAAGTCTGAGGTTCCGACTGGCCCGATCCGATCCGACGCGATCCCGATCCGACGGCCCGGTGCGCCCCGATGCTTCCGTGGCGCCGCTGCGCATCCTGGCGCAGCCGATCTGGCTCGATTCTCACTGCGTGCCGATGCAGTCCGATCCGACGCACATGCTCAAGTCCGACAGATCGAAATTAGAAATCGGATCGGATCGAATCGGCCATCACCAGCACGGAGCCTGAATGGAATCCGATCGGCCGCGCCAGGATGCACAACGAGCGCCACGCCAGGCATCGCGAAGCATCGGACCGTCGGAGAGTGTCGGGGTCGAACCGCCTGGGGCTGGCCGAGATCGATACTAGAAGAGCAACACAAGGGCATAAGCATCCTTTTTGGGAACTCTGAGCGACTTTCTTGGATCGGCGCTGACCCCCCTCCCTGGCGCGCAGAGCGCGCCCAGGAGCTGCGCCAGAGGCGCCGCCAAGGGGAGCCCAGCGCAGCTCCCAGAAATCCGCGCGAAACTCCGAGAACATATATGCCTGTCGCTGGTTGCTCTTCGAGATACAATCAAAGCTGATAGATGCAAGCCCCCTGGACACCCGTGTTGAAGCTATCTCGAACCATCGAAAGTGGTGAAGGATGGACCGAGGAGGCAAGGATGCAAGGGTACCCTCGGGAAGGCGACCTGTCCTCGGCTACACGCAAGAGTGACCCTGGGTAAGAGTGACCTTTGGTGCGCGGCTTTTTGGGGGGCCGCGGGGGGACCAAACCTGGGCGCGCAAGCCGCTGCTCCTGCTTCGTTTTCAGCCATCTGGGGACCCATCTGTGCCCGCGCCAAAAGTCACTCCGGCGAAAGGTCACTCTTACGTCTAGTCTTCTGTCGGGCGTGTCCCCCTACATATGGATTTTCGACGAAAAATAAAAAATACCCCGAACATACTCCAAAATGGTCAAAAAATACTCAAAAATAGTCACCAGACTATTTTACCTAACAGCGAAGACTGATAGGTTTCTAGTTGACTCAAAAGAGCTCACAGATCACTCCACAGGGGGGTCCGGGCGGGTGCCGGACAGGGTGCCGCAGAAGTCGTTTTAAGCAAACAGTCACACACTTCGTGCTCTTCGACCTCCCAGAACTCCATTCCCGGGCCACATTCTGAATGCCCGGAGCCAACTGTAGGCCACTTCGTGCTCTTCGACTTCCCAGAACTCCATTCCCGGGCCACATTTTGAATGCCCAGAGCCAACTGTAGGCCACTTCGTGCTCTTCGAGTCCCCAGAACTCCATTCCCGGGCCACATTTTGAATGCCCGGAGCCCACTGTAGGCCACTTTGTGCTTTTCGATTCCCCAGAACTCCATTCCCGGGCCACATTTTGAATGCCCGGAGCCAACTGTAGGCCAACTGCTGATGGGGCAGCGCTGTCTTCTGTGCAGACACTTCGACTCTTCTGGGCCGTGAATCCCTGCCAGAAAAATCATACATTGATGCCAGATTCTCGTCTTCACCCACGTCCACTGTTCCCTTCGATCATCAACGCGGACATGAACAGTATAGCACAGTGCACGCACAGCACACAGCACACACACACAGTGCCGCAGCACATAGCACGCACACACAGTGCCGCAGCACATGACAAAACAACATGGCACACCACACAGCATACACAGCACACCCATACACACACGCACATAACACAAGGGGGTGCGCTGCGGGCGTTGATAGCAGTGTCTCGTTTGGACATATATCCATTCAAATTCCTTGCGTTGATAGCAGTGTCCCGTTTGGACATACATCCATTCAAGCTCCGTGCGTTGATAGCAGTGTCTTGTTTGGACACACATCCATTCAAATTCCGTGCGTTGATAGCAGTGTCTCGTTTGGACACACATCCATTCAAATTCCGTGCGTTGATTTCTTATTGCTACTCTTACTGTGACTGTTACTGCTGCTGCATGCCTCCAGTTATGCTTCTACACATCGCTGTTAGGTTGCTTTGCCGGAATAATTTGGATTATTTGTTGCCTATTTTGGGGGTATATTTACCTAACAGCGAAGACTGATAGGTTTCTAGTGGTCTTAAAAAAGAGCAGCAGATGACTCCACAGGGGGGTCTGGGCGGGTGCCGGACAGGGTGCCGCAGAAGTCGTTTTAAGCCAACAGTCACACACTTCGTGCTCTTCGACCTCCCAGAACTCCATTCCCGGGCCACATTCTGAATGCCCGGAGCCAACTGTAGGCCACTTCGTGCTCTTCGACTTCCCAGAACTCCATTCCCGGGCCACATTTTGAATGCCCGGAGCCAACTGTAGGCCACTTCGTGGTCTTCGAGTTCCCAGAACTCCATTCCCGGGCCACATTTTGAATGCCCGGAGCCAACTGTAGGCCACTTCGTGCTCTTCGAGTTCCCAGAACTCCATTCCCGGGCCACATTTTGAATGCCCGGAGCCAACTGTAGGCCACTTCGTGGTCTTCGAGTTCCCAGAACTCCATTCCCGGGCCACATTTTGAATGCCCGTAGCCAACTGAGGCTGAGGCAGGCTGCTGCTGAGGCAGGCTGAGGCTGAGGCTGAGGCAGGCTGAGGCTGAGGCAGGCTGAGGCTGAGGCTGAGGTTGAGGCTGAGGCTGAGGCTGAGGCAGGCTGAGGCAGACGCTGAGGCAGGCTGATGCTGAGGCAGGCTGAGGCTGAGGCTGAGGCTGATGCAGGCTGAGGCTGAGGCTGAGGCTGAGGTTGAGGCTGAGGCTAAGGCTGAGGCTGAAGCAGGCTGAGGCTGAGGCTGAGGCTGAGGCTGAGGCTGAGGCTGAGGCAGGCTGAGGCTGAGGCAGGCTGAGGCTGAGGCAGGCTGAGGCTGAGGCAGGCAGGCTGAGGCAGGCTGAGGCTGAGGCTGAGGCTGAGGCTGACTGAGGCTGAGGCTGAGGCAGGCTGAGGCTGAGGCTGAGGCTGAGGCTGAGGCAGGCTGCTGAGGCAGGCTGAGGCTGAGGCTGAGGCTGCAGGCTGAGGCTGAGGCTGAGGCTGAGGCAGGCTGGCCTGAGGCTGCAGGCTGAGGCTGAGGCTGAGGCTGAGGCTGAGGCTGAGGCTGAGGCTGAGGCTGAGGCTGCAGGCTGAGGCTGAGGCTGAGGCTGAGGCTGAGGCTGAGGCTGATGCAGGCTGAGGCTGAGGCTGGCTGAGGCTGAGGCCGAGGCTGAAGGCAGACTGAGGCTGAGGCTGAAGCAGGCTGAGGCTGAGGCGAGGCAGGCTGATGCTGAGGCTGAGGCAGGCTGATGCTGAGGAAAAGGTTGAGGCTGAGGCTGAGGCAGGCTGAGGCTGAGGCTGAGGCAGGCTGAGGCTGAGGCTGAGGCAGGCTGATGCGGAGGCAGGCTGAGGCTGAGGCTGAGGCTGAGGCTGAGGCTGATGCAGGCTGAGGCTGAGGCAGGCTGAGGCTGAGGCCGAGGCTGAAGGCAGGCTGTGGCTGAGGCTGAGGCTGAAGCAGGCTGAGGCTGAGGCTGAGGCAGGCTGAGGCTGAGGCTGAGGTAGGCTGATACTGAGGCAGGCTGAGGCTGAGGCTGTGACTGTGACTGCCGTTGCCACTGCGACTGTCATCGCGAATGCAACTGCGACTGCGAGAACAGGAGAATTCTACAACTGGATTCTCATCTGGATTTTAAGGGGAATGTTTCCATATATGCTTCTACACATCGCTGTTAGGTTGCTTTGCCGGGATAATTTTTTCGTCGAAAATCCCCCTGTAGGGGGACAGGCCCGACTTAAGTCTAGTCGATGTCCTTCTGACCGATGCCCGACTATGCCGAGTCGGATCGACCGGATCGAAGTGGGCCGCGCCTGCCCAGCCAGCACGCGCGGCCTCCAGAGGCCGTCGAGGCCGTCGCGCCGCGCGCCCCCCTCGAGCACCTCGCCCGAGCGGGCGGCGGCGTCGAGGCCGGCCTGCCCTTCCCGGCTGGCCCCGCCGGCCCCCGGCAGGCCGCGCTGCCGTTCCTGAAGAGAAGCACACGCATATCCGGCATGGAATCACACATGCTCACATACACACTCACACACACAAACGCACACACACACACACACACACACTCACACACACACACACTCACACACACACACACAACAATGGAAGCATAAACGGAACACACCAACACTCACACACAGACATGCACACATAACAACAACGAATCAGCAAAAAAGGCCAGAAACGAAAACAAAACAACAAAAGGACTGCAACCGAAAAAAAATATACTCAAAAACGATAACCAACAGAAACAACAAAAAAACGATTCAGGCGCTCCCCCACCGCGGAGGTGCTGCATGTGAATTCGAAGCCAACTGCACGTGGACTACGCTCGCAATTTGACATAACTGCCGACGCCTGGTCATTAACATGCTCGTAACAATTCGTATGTGCGCATGTGAATTCATGTGCGACGCATGTGTTCGCAATGTAGTGATGCATGTATGGTATAGCGCGGCTTAGTAACGTCAATTGATGGCGCTCGTGATGCGAGAATGTTAATTTGTGATGTGTTGCTAACATGTGCGGCTTCCATGTTGACGTGATTGGTGTGAAGTCATGGTGTCAGTGAGTAACGAGTTATTGATGTACGTGTGTGATGCACACTCTTGGTTCAAGTTCTCGAGAATGAGTGTAGCGCATAATAGTGGCATAACTTCCTGATGTATGTGGTTGACGTGTTATTCGTATATGTCGGTGTTGCGTGTTGCTGGCGTGATGCTATTGTACATGACTTGCATGTGTCACTGACGTCTACTATGAATGCCTATGGTTGATGTGTGTGCGTGTTGCTCTATCAACCTGGTGTACACTCCCAGTGTACGGTGAAAACTGGCCATGGTGCATCAGTGTTGCCTGTTGTTTAATGATATGATGCTGATTCGTGTGATTGTGATGATGCTGATGGTATGTGTGAGTCATGTAAGTGGAGCGTTACTGACATGTACCACGGCCTCGATATTTGGACGTCTGACTTGTGCGCGCGTGATACATGCCCCTGGTGTCTGTGTCATAATGGTGTTTCTGTCTGTTGTCGAATATCGATGCAGTAAGTGGTGCGCGTTCTTGCTGTACATGGTTGCTCTCTGCTCTTGCTATATGTTACTGAAGTGCGCTGCTGACGCATGGGATCGGTGTATGATCTTGATTGTCATGATTGAAATAGGCATCATTTGTGCTCTGGAGTCGGTGAATCGTGCTTGATGCTGATGCAACTGATTGAGGTTGTACGTCACTGCTGTACAGTCCTGATATATGTAACTCATGCGTGATGTTGGTGCGTGTTACGTCTGTGAATTCCTGGTGCGTGCGATTACTGGATGTTGCAGGCGCCTGTCACTGATGCATGTCGCTGGTGTGTGGTACCGAGTTATGTCATCGATGTATGTGAGGTGTGCTCCAGGTGTCCGGGGGCGGCGCGACGACGAGACGCCTGGAGGGCGTGACGCCTCCCCAGTGGGGCTCGGCGAGGCGGGATCCCCAGGGACCATCCGGGACTCTTGGGGCCTCGCGGCCGCGGCATGCTGGGTGGGCAAGTCGGGGCGTGGCCGCAGGAGGAGGAGGAGGAGGAGGAGGAGGTGGGCGAGACAGAGCGGGAGAGGCGGGACCCCCAGGGATCCCCAGGGATCACCGGGGCCCGGCGGCCGTCGCACGCAGGGGCGGCGAGGCGTGTCGGGGCGGGGGGCTCGTCTTGAAGCCTAGGAGCCCCGACGGATCGGGTGTCGAACACGAGAGAAGCGAGACACCCTCGCGGCCGAACGCCCGAACGGTTCTGCACTGGCAACACTGGGGGGCAGCAGTTGGGGGCAACAGCGGGGGGGAGCAACGATGGGGGGCGACGATGGGGGGCAACGGCTGGGCAGCAGTGGGAGGCAACAGTGGGGGGCCACGATGGGGGACAACGATGGGGGGCAACGGGCCCACGATCACGGCGTGGGGGCAACGATGGGGGCAATAGGGGCAACTGGGAGCAACGATGGGGGACAACGTGCCCTCGACTCCGGGGGCCTGACATGCCTCAATGGGCGCCAGAAGCAACCTCTCGAACCCTCACAGACGAGCTGCTTGCGAAATGAACTAGATTCACAAATAGCACAACAGCAACGACAGAAAGAAAAACAAAAACAGCACCAACAACGACGACAACAACAACAATCATTTTGAGGCTGTTCGCTCTTATCTGCTCGCGTGCCATTCAACACGTACATCCCGAACCCTCGATACCCGCCCTCTTCGTCTTCGACCGTGCCCCCTTGGGGGTATACCTTTCTTGCATGCAACATGCATTTCGTGCAGCCCCTGAGGCAGGGAAAGAGAGGACGGATGGAAGGAAGGGACACGGGGGAGGGAGGAGGATGGAGCACGAGAGAGACTAGGAGGGGGGGGCTAGGAACAGAAAACACGTGGCAGAACCAGACGGGCAGAGATCGGGCGGGTAGACCCTACCAGGCGGGTCGGGAAGGAGGCCCAAGGCGGCCAGGTCGAAGCGTGGGTCCTGCATGAATCGAGGGGAAGTCTCGAGCGACAGCTCGATTCCCAAATCAATCGTGAGGAAATCCACAGCGCGAGCGTGACTCCTGAATGTCGAGGGCGCGGCGTCTGAATAAATTGCGAGGAAGTCCCAAGCGCGAGCGCTATACCTGAATACAACGTGAGGAAGTATCAGGCGGGAGCCGTTGTTGTTGTAGTTCGGGGGCCAGAGGCGCAATTTGAGGAGGAAGACAATCCCTAATGAAAAACAACAGGTGCGAGCCCCGGGAAGGGCACTTCAACTGAAAAAACATCTATGTTACTGGAGGGGGATCAGCAATAACTATTATTCAATAGTGTGAGTGCACAACCAACAACAACAGCAACAGCAACAGCAACAACAGCAACAACAAAAAACACAACCACAACCACAACCACAACCACAACCACAACAACAACCACAACAACAATACCAACACCAACAGCAACGAAAGCAACAGCAACAACAACAACCAGTTTTGTATTGATCGCTCTTACTGGCACGCGTGTTTTGCATTCTGTATGTCCCAACCTTCGATACCCGCCCACTTCATCTTCGATCGCACCCCCTTTCGGGGTGAATATCTTCCTTGTCGGCCACTGACTGCCGTGCGAAGACCTCTCGACCGAAAGCGCCGTTCTTGAGTTCTGGGGCCTCTCTGGCCAGACCAGGGGATCTCGGAATACGTATTGAGAAACATCGAACGGCAACCCTTGTCGCCATGTCTGAGCCTCCACCAACTTGCCTGAATTGCTGGAAAATCTCGAGCTAGAGCGCCACTCTTGAGTTCGGGGGCCTCTCTGGCAAGGGCCTCTGCGAATCCATCTTGAGGAAGTTTCGAACGAGAGCCCTTGACGTCATATTTGGGCCTCCACCTATTTGACTGAATCACGAGGAAGTCAGGAAGTCTCGAGCGAGAGCACCGTTCCTGAGTTCGGGGGCCTGCCTGGCCAGAGGCTCTCGGAGTAAATCGTGAGAAAGTATCGAGCAGGAGCCTTTGTCGTCGTGGCTGGGCCTCCGCCACCTTGATTGGATTGCGAGAAAGTCTCCAGCGAGAGCGCCGTTCCTGAGTTCGGGGGCCTCTCTGGCCAGGGTGTCTCGGGGTAAATTGTGAGGGGGTATCGAGCGGGAGCCGTTGTCGTCGTAGCCGGGCCTCCAAGGGCACACTTTTACATTCGAGCCAATGCTCGCGCGGGAGCTTCGTTTTCGGAGAAAATGTAGCCGGCGTCGAGGCGAGCGCGCGGAACCGCTTCCGGATATCAACAATCAGTATTCTCTTGACATGAATATTCAAACAAGAACAACAACAACAATTACTAGCACATGGGGACACACCGTTCTCACCAGTGCCAGGGTTTTCATAGGAGGCGGGCAATACCCCCACTTTGTGGGGGGGCCGGTTCAAGCTCTACCAAATTTCCAAACGACTCTTCGCCACCACCCACACCCAGCTTCCCGCCCTATGACGTTCGGACACTTCACTTCGTGGCATGCGGACGACCGTGGCTACTATTCAGGGCCCCGCGGCCGACGACGACGGCGTGCGCGCGCGAAGAAAAAACGAATGTGTCCCGCATGGTATTATTTGACAGGGATGATGGCCCTGGCAGGTGCGCAACCGTTGTTGCAGAAGTTCGAAAAAGTTGCTCGCAAAAGCCCGTTTGACAGAAATGTTTAAAAAGTGTTGGGTTTCCTACGAATCCGCAAGAGCGCGCGGGATGAAATTTTGACAATTTTTTTTGAAAAACCATTGGTTTTTTGATGTTTTTATGTTAAAATCGCTACGAAAACTAAGGTTTTGGAAGGATTTCGTCTTGCGCGCGCGAATGTGCACTTCGTGTCATTTTTTGCAAGGGATTCTTGAAGTTTGGTCATGTTAGAAC